CGTGTCAACATACTGGAAATACCGGGCTATACTCCCACACGGAAGGCTACGCCGTGCCGGACCGGGCTATACTCCCACACGGAAGGCTACGCCGTGCCGGACCGGGCTATACTCCCACACGGAAGGCTACGCCGTGCCGGACCGGGCTATACTCCCATATGGTGTCATGTAAACCGTAAGCTTGCATCGGTGCTTCAGTCATGCATGCTGGGAGACACCGTGTCCTCCACAAGCCACTGGTCAGACTACAAACAGCACCACCTATAGGGATAAATAAGCTTCCTCCTGCCCAGCCGGGAACGTTCCCCCGTGGTCCACAAATGTTCACACTGCTAGACGACGTGTCCTCGTTCAGTAACCCACTTCTTTCCTGGCTCAGCTCCCAAAGACCGTAGGACCCTCAAGCACCCCAAGACACCGCGCCTGCACGTTAGGCCCTGGCGAGACATTTGATCCACATAAAAACAGGACGGGAAACAGCCAAAACAGACCCAAAGCCCACGGCCAAAGAGAAGCAAAAGGGCGAGTGCATCTCCTCCTCTGGGGTCCAAAAACATCTTTATGCTACGAAATGTCACGACCGGCTCAGCGTGTCCCAGTCCTTCTGCAGCGATAATGCAGCCCGAGACGGCGATCTGCCAGGTTACGTCACGCTTAAGGTCAGCCAACGAGCAGATTCTGAAACCTGCTGACTCGCCCTCAGCGAAGGACCGCTTCCATGAGGCGAGACGACGCACGACAAGAGCTACAAGCATAAGGGATCTAATTCACTTGTTCTCTGACGAGACTAGAGTTGCGTTCCAAACGCAATAAGAAACGCTGGCTGAAGGAGTCATTCACAAACGGTTTCAGAAACAGGATCTACCAGGTCATGCAGATGCATGGCAGCTACCTACTTAAACCTAAGAGGATCTTTTATTTAATCAAGAATTTTGTGTGTAATGTTACTGTATATTCGGGGGGGGGGGGGGGGGGGGGGGGGGGGGGGGAGGTTCCCCATCTCCAGTGTAACCGCAGGCCAGTTCTAGGTAGCCTGGAGCACAACGATGGGATGTCAGTCCATCACTGGTCACATATCGGCCTAAAAATCACACCCTACGGGAAATCTAGAGAAACCTAACTGCACATCTTTTAACTGGGCATGGAAACTAGCATGTTGTGGGACGAACATGCAAACCCTCCCCGCACACAAAGAGGGAGGTGGGATTCGAACCTGCTGTCGTAAGGCAACAGCGCTAGCCAGCGAGTAAACCTTCCTTAAGAACGAACAGTGTCGGTTTCAGGTGGACAGTTCAAGGAAGCGCGGCGATGATGGACGATCGGTTCCCCCCTTGCCGGTTCTCACCTGAATCTCCCCCAACTGCCTCATCAGCTCCTGCAAGCAGAGAAAGACAACAGAAGATCCCCTTAGTTATTTGAACTCTTGGTCTCTCGGCTGTTCGGCGATTGTAACGTCCTGGAGGACAGACAAACAACCTGCTGCTGTATGAGTGTCAATTGCAAAACAACAAGCTGCTGATAATCCCATCATCTAACAGAAGTTTAAACCTTTCAGCGGATCCTTAAGTAACCTTCGAAGGATCCTTTCCACACAGGGAACCCAGAGGCGCATAATATCTACTCAATGGAAGTTTTAAATCACAACCCCAGCAACGCCACATCTATCATAACCCAGCATCCAAGCTGCACACCAGTGATGTTATAACCATTATCAAAAATGGCTGAATAGGGCGCAGCGAGAAAATGTGTTTTAAATAACCCCATAACTCATGTTACCTGTCTGAGAAAAGCAGCAGTACAACCTCGTAACTATAAATTAGAGGGGCAACAGACCGCCTGTGACAAATGTGACATTCAAAGCACGAGAGGTATCTGAAAGTCTGGGAAATATTCAGGAAGCAAGTGAGGAACGTGACCATTCACAAGCGTGTGCACGCTGCTCACCTTGGACCGGGGTCCAGGCACCTTGCTTTTCATGGAAGGACCGTCATAGTCAAACTCATCCAGGGTCTTCGCTGCGGTCTTGCTCACGTGTCTGTATCCTGCAGATATTTAGAACATACAAGAGACTAATGAGTTATTAAAAATTGCTGAGGCAGCCACTGAGCATTAGACCTTATTTAAAATATAAATTGTAATAAAAGAGGTAATCTTCACAGAATTGAGGTACACATCTCTCTAGTTAATGGTCACATCCATAATGGGAGTTTTGTAATCATTAACTACCACAGTACCCTTACTTATCTACTATTACTACGCTATTGAAGGGAAGTTTCGGAACAAAATATGCTGGCATTTTTCTATACAAATATGTAGCAGTTTTTTTTGTCAACATGCTACATTTAAAACATGACAATGGGCCACAAGAACTAATAGAAAACAAAAAAATGCAGGAAAACCAGCACATCTACACTGGGCGGTTTCTAAGCCTCGCACCCTCAAACAGAGTCACGGGACGGGAGTGTGAGGGGCGCATGCATCTACTGCATTACGTCTCCAGAAGAGCTGACAAAAAGGAAACTGAGATTCTCAGCTGCAGGGCCCTAAAACAGGCAGAGTCGCTGCCGCTTCCAGAATCTTCCATCTTCCCTTCACAAACAGACACACAACATCCCAGCAGGTGTCAAGACGACCGCAAGACTCTCCACCTTTACGGGGCGAGATCAGCACGGCCGACTGGATCAAACTGGAATCTGTCGATCATTCATTTCCCCTGTGCTGTCAAACCTTTGTACTACTGGAGAGGACCGTGTGCTGGGGGCTGGGGGGCAAGCTGTCCTCCACCAGGCAATAAAATGCAAATTTACCACAGTTCATTCTACACTTTAAACTAGGAGGTCAAATTTCACTTAAAAAAAAAGAAAAAAAGACTCCTTTAAATTTAACGTCACTTTAAGAATAAACAGCTGAAAATTACAGGTTACAGGTTAACGACAGCAGCTAAACCCCGGGGGCCTTGTAAACACGGGGATCTGTGCCCCTCCCCCCACCCCCATCAGAGGACAGCACTGCAGACTCACCCGGGCCAGACAGACGCAGGCTCTGGCACAGGGGCACTGTCAGGTGGCGGCTGAAGAGGCTACAGGCCATGCTTGCGTGCCAGGGAGCAGGATGGGGTCAGGCCTCAGCAGCTGTGGGGAGATGGGGGTGAACCAAGGTTAGAGAGCAACGACAGGGGCCAGTAGGACATGGGATCAAGTCCCAGTAATCACAGGTCTAATAAGATTTAAAATAATGGAACTGTTCGACTTGACAGGCTGCAGGAATGAGCAGAGATGATGAAAACTATTCAGAAACGCAAGAGCACTGTGTCTTTTATAGTCTAATATTTACTGTAATGCTTGCATTTTTTTTTGGATAAAATAGTCCACAAAGCTAATGAATAGTGACAGGATATGATCAGTTACCACTGGATTTCACTGGTTCTTCAAAAACAGAAATATAAACAAAACCAGCTAATATGAGAACGTATAAACCCAGCGGCACGGCTCCTGATATTCCAGCAAGACCTTCTCACTCAGAGCAGACACCTGCCCAGGAACCTCAAATGAAGATCAGAAGACAGGTTGTTTCTAAAAGTTGTGGTCATAGAAATGACAGATAACCCTAAACGGGAGATTGACGGGTATCGGAATCGCAGCTGTCGAGGAGGGTTTATACATCCCGTTTATTCTGCTGATGCTCCCCCCTCCCCAGCCCCGACCTTACTGGCAGTTTAAGGTCTGCTGGTAGCTGGAACAGAAAAGCGACAGCGGTCCAACAAAGCCACTGCGTTAAGCCAGGAGAACACGAGGCGAGTGCAGTCTGGAACCGCTGCTGTCCAATGACAGGAGCCGCAGAGGGGTGTGGGAGGGCTTTCTGAGATTGGCCAATCAGAGGGCCCCTCTACCTCAAAACGGCCAGGAGCTTTTAGACGAGTCCCATCAACGTTAATGTCCTAGTTACAGCTAGCAGGAAAGCTGGCACCGGCCCAAAGACCATCCAGGGTCCTTAGGCTGACTTGCCCTTTGCTCACATATGGCATCTGCTAGTGGCCTTAACAGGAGATAAGGAGGGTTATTTTAGAGCCAAGTATGCAGTGTGCTGAGTCTCCACATAACACTAACACACACACACACACACGCACACACGCACACACACACACACACACACCTTCATGCTCATGGTGCAGCGCCTTAGACTGTGCTGTCAGAATGCATCGCTCACTTCTGTGAGCATGGGGGGGGCTTTCCGGTCTGCACTGGATCGGGGGGGGGGCTCCGCTTACGTAACCTGGTGGGGCAGAAGCAAGGCCATTCCAGGCATCTTCCACAGAGATCTGTGCAGTCACTCCTAACTGGATTGCACTGGTTTACAAAAAATAAAATATAGACTAACCCCCGCCTCTCCCCCAATACATCCAAAAAAATTAGTTATAATGGCTGAGCAGTGTGGGGGTTACCCAGTCATTCTGCTAACAGCAGCCCCGAATATACATAAATGTAATAAAAATCAATAATAAATACCTCAAAAGCCAGACGGGAACCATGGAATATCAGGCAATACAAGAGTTTTGAAAACATATATAGTGGGGAAATATGAACAATGACTCATTCTAAAGGTCATTCTTTTGATGCAGCACAAGCCAGCAGGCCCAAGAGGAAACGGGCGAGGATCTCGCTAAATTAAATTAGCGTCGAGCGCATTTAGCAGCAAACAGAAATCGGGCTTCATCTACTCTAGTGTAGCTACTTGTTATTCATCGAGGGCAGCAGCCTCGGCCGGGCACTGGGGGGGACATTTTACCAGGGAAAACGGCCTACTGGTGAATATTACATAAGGATTGAGGCGGGAGGGGGTTGGGGTATTGTTTCAAATGACGCTAGTCAAACCACAAACCTACATGCACAGAATTGAAAACTAACTTCTTTCATGTTTATAATAAAAATAAAAAAATAAAAAATAAAATGTAGACTGAGCAGAGAAGATGAAAGCTATTCTGTAACTTGAAAGCACTGTGCCTTTTATAGTCTGGTATTTATTTTCTGTAATGCTTGCAGTTTCCTTCAGGATCAATAAAGTTTCTCTCTTATTGACTTGTAGCTGTAAACTTGTACATGGAAAAGGGTTCTAGATGCACGAGTACACAAAACGGCGACCCGGTCATGTGGAAAAGCCTTCCTGCCGGATAACGCCGATGTCCAAGGCAGCGGACGCTGGCTGCCCGTGATCTGAAGCCAAAGCGACTTGCTACATCACTACCACCACCCGCCAGGCCCCCGTTGGTGGGAGAAGACTGAGCCCGTTTCCAAAGACTCTCCTATTAGAACAAGGAGAGGACATTTTGTTCATATGGTTTATCTACTGACCAACTGTGGCAGACAACGGTCAACAGCCAACAACGCCGCGATAATTTCCCCAGTCGGATCCCAGTCAACACACCTTCAGAGGGTTAACTTAGTGCTAACAAGAGGCTCGCTAATTGGTTGTCATAGCAACAGAAGAGGCTTTTAAACGGACTACAGGGAGCAGAAGTAGCATTGAAGGGTTATAGAGTTGGGCTCTATCTGTTCCTGCACACGGCAGCCCAAGGTTGTCAAGGCAACGAAAAATAAATAAACAAAAAGACGCTGACCTTTAAAGGTACATGCCCACCAGCAACAGCGAGCCTTTAAGCTAAACCTGAAAGTACCTGTGTTACCCATGTGGCATAATACAAGTAGTATGGTGTTAAAAAAAATAAAATAAAAAATAATTAAAATATAAGTATATTATGTGTGGTCAAAACCCTCTAAACATGTCGGGACTCTGGTGCGGCTCCTCGGGCGGGATCCAACGGAAAGCGGCGCTCCCCACGCATTCAGGGTTCCGCTTAATCTCACGGCGGGGCCTCCTTCACCGCGGGGAGGGAACCATCCTGAGACGGCCCGGCCTTCCACCCCCACCATACCTCCATCCTCCCCTACAGCCAAGGCCTGGGCTTGAGTTCGCAAAAGCAATTCACAGAGTGTCAGTATTTAAATTAAAACAGATGGGGAAAGACCCCCCACCCAGTGGTTCCCACTGGTGTGAGATACCAGTGATGAATTACGACACCTTTCCATCGTAGGCAGGAAACTAAACAACACAAGCACTTAAAGGGCGTTTCGGGGTCACGGCCCAGCGAGTCTAGTTCTCGTTATTGGTTAAACGGCGAGGCCAATGTGTCACATCAGGAACCAAATCAATTTTTATCAAAGCATCAGTCTAAGAAACTACACTGTATAATGTACTTACGCTGTACCTAGACTTGTGGAAAAATAACACTGTAAAAGCATGAAATATGCCATTTTACATATACGTGCACAACACATCTTTTCCCATCCATAAACTCCACCGGGTAAGTGCAGTCGTAATGTGCGATGTCAGCCCACTATTGGTATTAATGTTTGCCTCAGCTCACTTCGGAAAGACTGGACATCCCCAGACCTGGTGGCTTTGCACCTTTACGCCGGAGTCACGCCTGAGTCACTGTGGATTTAATTGGTGCAAAACAATCACAGGCCACACAAGCCATCCTCCCACCCACCCCCAACTCAATACCAAAGCCCTTTGCCTGCATTCGTTCCACTGGATTGGAAAAACTTTATTGAACATATCAATTACAATCAGGACTGGAATGCCGCTATTTCATAGATTTCAATGTGAGTGGTGCGGGTGGAGACTGCTTAAACTGCATCCACTTCACCTACCAAATTTACCTTTCTAAGAAAATAAATATATAATAAAAGTTTACAGCCCAAAGGATTTAGTAGGTGACCCACTTGGTGAATCCACCCGGCACATTAATCAGCAGTAATTCCAGCATCATCAGTCTGCTTCAGTGGCTGGATTTCCTCAACTGTGTCATTCATAATTAATAATTGCAGACCGAAATTTAGTTCAGCGTGGAGCCAGGATGTCATTATTTAAAGAATATCCAAATCCAGTGCGGAAATATCACTAGGCTCTCGCCCAATTCATTGTCTCCCGACTCTTCGTCGCTTCTTTAACTCCTTAATCGCTGCCATCTTGGTTTTGCTCAAACAACTTCCGATTCCCCAGACCGACTTAACATGCAGAAGACACGCTGTACTTTCACGAAATGCAAACTCTTTCCCAACGCGACTAAGGTCTCTGATAAAAGCTCACGCACTCAAGCAGAGCACCGCGCACTCGGCGCCGATCCCCCAGCGAGCCGGTGCCTCCGACCCGCTCCGACGTGCCCAGCGCCCGCAACGGCGATCGACGCGTCTATCCTTATAAACATCTGCAATTACACTCTCTGCTATAACTTAAACCCGATGACGAACCAACATGAGTATTTAAAAATAAAACAAATTCGGCATCATAACAGTCTAGACAGAACCATGCACATCAGAGAAATAAAACATTAAAATCCCAAAGCATCGGCGTAGCAGCCGCAGTATTTGACGGCTCAGACCCACCAGGATCCTCAGGCTCCCCGAGCGGCGCAGCGCTGAACGGCGGACGCCAGCAAGAAGCAACCGGTTCCGACTGGATCGATCTAGCCGGATGTGTACCGTAAACGACACACTGCAGCTGTCACCCCCCACCCCCACCGCGGACCCATCGCCCCGCAGGCGTGCCCGGGTTAGGCAAAGTGAAACGAAAGAAGTTAACTTAAGATGGCTTGCAAGTCTGATGCCAAGACGCAGCCTGGATGCGCAGGTGCAGCACGTTACGGCACCGCCGACAGCCTGTATGGGAAGCTGCGGCATGCAATGTTCATCACCGCAGGCACCTGTCAGGCGCAAACCGGCCCGAGGAAGGTGGGAGGCGGCGGGTCTTCGGCGCCCTAACGGCGCCCCGGCCGGACTTACCGGGCAGCGCGGAACAGGAAACCGCGCGAATCTCAGCGGCGAGCAGCACCGCGCATCCGACTGCTTGCAAGGAGGCGTCTGTCTACAAAAACATCTATTGAAATTTGGCTTCGGTCCTGTGGAGGGAGGGAGTCTCTGATCCGGTGGGGGGGTGGAAAGGGGAGAGACTCCGGTAACCAATGGGGTGGCGGAGAAAGCGAGACGGGGAAGCCGACTCCCCCGGGCCGGGTTGAGCGCTGGGTCTCACTTGTCATCTTATGCAACCAAGGATCGGCGATTGCATACTCGGCTGGACAAGAAAACAACAAACATTAGTTTAATTAGGTGATTGAATTATCTTCATACCAGACTGAGCTAGTTTTCGCTCACGCTGCAGAAACGTATGCCGCATCTGATTAAAAAAAAAATAGCCCTTAAATGTCACACGTCATTTGCAGTTACTACAGAATCAAGGAAACTACTTAATACTTAATTACTAGTAATTAGCTAGGTTAAAAATTTGGTTTAAAAATAGGCTACTTGGTTGGATCAAGTTTTGGATCAAGCCTTTGTGTGTCCTGTTAATACTGTAACTTTTCTTATATTGGCAAGAAATACCTCGTGGTTGTATTGAATCTATGAAAAGGTGTCATTAAATTCTGTCTGAATTTCGCAATGAATTTGAGATTTAAGATTGAGATTTTGTGATTGTTGTGCAGGAGGCAGCGCTCGGAAACTCGGGGCAACGTTTTACTGACAGGGCAATGATGTTTTACTAAAGAGAAAGCGACCCCCCTCCCCACATCGATAGGATTATTGAAAAGAACAAGACGGCTCTCCGCAATTTATCTTGTAAAAACACAGCCTTTGTGCGCCGTGCGATGACTTGGAGACGCACCCCGATGCACGCCATCTTGAAAACTAATTCATCATTTGGACTTTCAGAGTAAACTGTGCGAGGCGTGCAGTTAAAGAAAAAAACAAAGACCTCCCCCCCCCCCTAATGTCTGCTACTTTAATCGGCATCCAGCACAGATGGGTGACAGTGAGGCAGCATGTCGCGTATGTATAAATGCTGCAATTGATCCCGGTGAAACACGACGCTGCTGGATTACTGGATGTAAACATCAGACTAAACCTCATGTCCGCCTAATTTAAGTTTAAAATAACAGGTTTCTGGTGGTGTATTTGGTTACATGGAAAGGGATTCTGTGAAATGTGGTGTCCCTAACTTAGCAAATTATGCAAAATTTATAGGTGCTGCTCATGAATCAGGACGCACCTAGTAAAATTCTTATTTTATAAAGTCTAGCTGTGTCGTAATTTTTGATGCGGTGCCGCGTGCTTTTCCCCTGTTAATCCAATTGTGAAAACAGGATCCATGCGGGTCATAAAATGGACGGTCTGTCATCCGAAATGCTTTCTAGTATTAACCCTTAGATAGATTTTCACTCACCAATAAAACTTTAACCCTCACATTCACAAAAAGCTTATATAAGCTTATAAGACAACGACCCGAAGCACATATCGAGGTTATGCAAGTACTGCAGCCTATTATCTTATCATTTTGTGAACACGGAAAGAGATGCTACGACAGATGATTGGCCCGCCCCCCAATCCCCCAACTTGGAATGTGTTAGATCAGATAGTAAGAGCAAGGTAGCCAACTTGTGTCCAGAACTTGTGTGGGAACTCCTTCAGCACTGTAGGAGAAGCATTCCAGATGGCTACATCTGTAAGCTGATTGAAGGAATATCAAGAGTCTGCAATGCTGTCATTGAAGAAAAGGGGGCTATTTTGAAGAGTGTAATACCTGAAAAAATTGCGATGTTGAACACTTCCTCGGTTTTAGCAATATTTAAGATGTATTACTTCATCACCTCTAGGTTGTTTACTATAAGATGAATGGCATATCTAAAACAGAGACAAATGCATTAAAAGTTGGCGTGTTCAGACTTTTGACTGGTACTGTAAATAACATGATTATTTTCTACCCCAAAAGAAAAGTAAACGAATATAAAAGCAACCGGGAACAAGTTCAGCTGATTTAATAATCTAAAGCTAAACTGTATATTTTATACATTTCTGCAACCAAATGATAAACATCCAGCCACCACACAAATCTTGTACACTTTAATAAATATTAAATGTTATTTCTTTTTAAAATGTGTCACCTCGATCAAAGCCACTTTGTTAAATAAACACAAACTGCAAAACGCATCGACAAACAATCGTGATATAATCACGTTTATCACACAGTTGTTACTCGGTTTCACTTGATTTTTTAACTATGACAAACCTCCTAAAACAAGTCAAACAAAAGCAATCCTTAAACGGAAAACCACTGCATAATTATTTAAACAAACTCTATAGATTACACACTGCAAAAAAAAAACATTAAAAGTTTGAGTGGAAAATTACCCACGCAAGCTGTGGAGGTTAACATCCACTTGTGTTAGTATTCCGGCGTCGACGTCCGTCCGCTACATCCGAGTCCTCTGGGGTACAGGGGCTGCTGATCGTACCTCCGGAGGTCGCGGCGCCTGGCTTCTGAGATGTGTTAAAATGCTATATCTATCAACGCAGCCATCACTTGCATAGAGGGAAGCATCACCAGGGTATCACACCTAGTTCTCAGCTACCAACTGGAAAATGGCCGAATTTGCGTTTCATTCACAAATTCAAAAGCCAGGGGTCACAGTTTATGTACTGCAATTAATCTATTGCGTGCTGGGACTCGGTGCCCCTTCCAATGGCACAGGGATTACAGGTTTTTCTCTTTTTTTTAATGAAACAAATGAAGCTGTTACTTTCCACAACTCCTGCAACAAGACAAAGGAAGAGTGGATTAGCAAATTGGCAATACAGATACAGTGATCAAAGAGGAATATTCTAACTAAATCAATAAGACTCTAGTAAAGCTTCAAAACTAGCTCAGCGAAAGTTTTCTACACTGCAGGTCAGAAAATCAATAAAATCACTACACACGTTACTAATGAGCATAATAAAGACGCAACTTCATGACCTGTGAAGCGAAAATGCTGCTTTGCTTGTTTAAATTGTTGTGCCAGGCGCTGCATTCCAGGGTCCAGCAGTGTAATGCATTTTTCTACCCAAGTGGAACTAAGTGGATGCAATCGCCGGAGCACAACAGCACCCTCTAGTGGCGCATAGTCGTGCCGAACGCGGCTGCCGTACGGGAATGCGAATAATCTCACCAGCTGCTCCACGCGCTCATATTCGAAGAACTGCGGGAAGCGCGTCTCCACCGACTCCACGGAGAATCTCATCTTGCCGTCAGTCAGACCTCCCAGGTCTCTCAGACAGCGGCGGAAGTGGTCGTAAGCTTCGCAGGAAATGTCCAGGTGCTGGATGGTGAAATTCAGCCTGGGAGGCAGAGAAATCAACTACGGCGGTTGGTCTGGACCACACCCGAGCGCGTCCCTAACCAGCGGAGCAGCTTACCGCTTCTCAATCGACAGGTAGATGGTGCTGGGCTGGTGGAGGTTGCTTGTCATTCTATACAGTGTCCGGAACAAGCTGTCCGTGAGATCCTCATCATAGCACACTGTTGGGGGGGGAGGGGCACAAATAGGTTTTAATCAAAAAGATTTTTTCCACTTTATAATGACAAAATTTCTTCTTAGTGGTGTCATACACGTAGGTCTGGGGTGGAGGGGGGAGGGGGGGTTACTTTCAAACACCTACAATCAGCAGCTATTAGCACAGTGGTGCTGTCGTGTAGGTCCGCGATCTCCTCTTCCGACCAGCCAAACTCGGAGGCCGCATCTAACCAAGAACAGGATGCAGGAGTGTGGAATTCAGATGAGGGACTGTTATCATGCCGTCATTAAAGACATTAAGGGTTTAGGGGTGGACTTGAGACCGGGGGGTTGTGGGTCTCTGGGGGACAAAATGCAGGGCCGTGATTGGCTGTAGATCTGCACAATCACGAGCTGTGCAAAAGTCCAATCTGTGTCCTCAGTCCTCTCTGAAGGTGCTGTTATAAATCATCTGATACTACAATACTACAATAATAAAAGTAGTACCATCCATCGTATGAATAATATTACATCTTAGCTGTGTAAACTATAATAGTTGCAGGAACCAACTTTAAGCCTGTGAAGAGAATGAGAGCAGCCTTCCAGTTTAGTGCAGAAGGTGAATGTTACGCCATTCTACCTGAAGGGAAATCGTCTCCCATCCAGTCCAATTCACGCACTTTGACTTCACCACCTGTCAGAGAGAAAAGGGAGCGAGAGTCACCATCTGACGTGGCCCTGGTTCCGTCAAAAGAGAGAGAAAAGGCAGGCAAACAGCGTGGAAGTACCACGGAATGACAGCAGGTGGCGACAGTGCCTGATCCCACTCTCAGTGCCGAGCCATAAAGGCGGAAACGCCGAGCTACAGGAACGGAGGCCTGACTTCAAGCTAGCGGGAAACTACGCAGGGATTTAGCAGGTAGCGCTAACGAGGAGCACTGAGATGAATTAAAACGGAATGATAAGGTGGTCCAGCAAAGGCAAATTAATTTCCGAATAAAATGGCAGCAAACCGTTAATCAACAAACGAGAGCCCATCTGGATGCAGGGCTGTAACATCCCGCATTTTAAGGAAAGTAATCAAGCATGAAAGCACAGCCCAGCTCCAAAGAGGCGGCCCCTCGCTTCAAAAAGTCAGCCGGCGTGCGTTTGGTTCACCTGCGGACTCCAAGAGATGCCTGTTCAAAGCCACGTTCCTCTGACACATGCCTAGAAGGTCACGGCCAACATCTAACAGAACACAGAAACATATTAAAGTTAAAAAGACAGACATTTCAATTTAAGATCAGTGTGATACGCAATATCAAAGATTTACAAACAAACAGCACATTTAACAACACAAGAAGATGCCTTAAAAATGCATGCACATATATGAATATATATATATAGATGTACAGACCAGTAAACAGCAAGACTGCATGTATGTCTATCAGTGTGTTTGCAGTATGCAACTTACTATATGTTTACTATTTAATATTATTACTTACTATATGTCTACCTTAACTGCTCTTTGCCAGAAAATGTTCAGCTTTCCATTTTATTGTGCTGGTGAATACAAAGCAGTTCTTGTCAAGCCTTATATCTGTTCCCTATCTGTTATTCATACTTGGAAAAAAAAAAGAAAGCTCAAGGTCATTTACATTCAGTGCACCAGATGGCGATCTAGAGTAAGAAAGTTTACAGAACTTCATTAATAGACATAATGAAGTAGCATTCATTTGAAAGAGTTGTTCATTTGGCAGTTTAAGCTATATTCATAAACCATGGCTTATAATTAAAACAAATCAGTTTCATGGCCGACATCTTTTTCAAATACTCTGTTTTCTAAAAAAAATATACACACAAGTTCCTTGGGAATGGCATTGTGCTAATTGCTATTTTTGGGCAGGAAAATCTCTCCAGATTGTTAACAGTAAAAGTATACTTTAAAAGGCCCAGCTTTTTATATGGAATAACAGTGTCACGTTGCTTTAATGTAGATTGCTGGTGACACTGTCTCGTCAAGTTATCCCCCTCCTGGCTGGTCAAGGGACTCTCAAATATGACCTTCAAGGCTGAAATCATCGGCACATAATGTAGAAATGCACTTTTAATCATTTATCAGGAAGAACATTACTACACTACCTCAGAGTGAAGAGCTCCTCTGTTATAATTCTTCACATTCAAATAATTGATCCAGGCTGTTCTTTTCTACAAAAGCAGACCAGTACAAAAGGCTATTCTGCCAAACAGCCGACCGAATCCTAACTGAGTGATGTGCTCAGTCTGGCTCACCCAGTTCAATAATTATTTTCGCAAACAGTTCCCTTGAGGTTTCTGGAAAGTTCTTTTCATAAAGACAAGCCACACTCATTCAGACAAAGTGATTCGTTGAAAATGTTTTTTTCTTTTTTTTTTTTTTTTTTTAAATCGCTCTTATCCAAGGTCTCTCATGTACTTGGAAAAATTCGCGTCTGAAATACAGTTTGGCCAGTATGCAATAAATAAGCTTTACAGAGCTGGCAGTGTGGAATCCAGCTCATCTTGCTCTCTCATCATTTTGCAGTGCACCTGCATTATTGTGCTACGCATATCTGCTGCTGGACAATTTTTAGCTAACCTATTTCAGCCCTCAGATAAAAGAAACCTTCTGTATCCATCTTAAGGCTGCAACATGACTTCTGCCACCTTCTTAAAAGCCCGCAGAGACTGGCAGTGCCCTTCTCTACCTGTACCTGTGCAGTAGACCCGCTTGGCAACAGTTGCCATGGCCAGGCTGGTGAAACCCATTCCAGCGCCGAGTTCGAGTGCCGTGGATCCTTTGAATAGCTCCGGCTGGGAGAGGATGAAGTCGGCCATCAAGAAGGCACCACGCCACACCTGGAGGAGACCACGGGTGTCCATCACATCGGACACCGTCGCCAGGCAACAGGAGACAGAGCACAGAGGAAGCTAGTGGAGCTCACCTGCTTCCCTACGTCTTCTAACGGTGTGGCCATTGTATGTTCTACTCAATAGGGGGGGGGAGAGAGAGAACCCATCAGATTACACATGAACGCAGGAGTGTGCTGCCAAATGTTAAGCATAATCAACATGACAGGCCCTTAATAAAACAGGTTAAACTGATGGTGATTAAAATTCTTCAGAATCCAGCATGCTTCACTCCACGGAATTCTCCGACGGTTCTCGTTAATAGTGGACTATTTTTAGTTAGGGAACAATCAGGTTCCTTAGTTGTGATATTCTTGAAATAGATGAACAGCCTTGTTGGCAGTAAGCTGCTGTCATCTCATGTATAAACACCACTGCTTCTGCACGTTCTCTCTGCCCCCACTGTACGTTTGCTCAAGACCCCACAGGAGATACCAAAGTGAGCCTGTTATTCTAAAGGGGGGGGGGGGGGCTCCCTGTCTGCCCCCCCATGATCTTAAAAACGCTGTGGGAGCCTCACCGATTTTAATCACGTCTTTGGAATATTCCTCCTCATCCACCCACTGCAGCTCCGTGGCTTCGCCCCTGCTGAGGATCGTGGGATTCACTCTGTCGCGAATTCTAAGGTCTGGTTCAGAGGTACGACTCTCCCTGGGCCTCCTGACCACATCCAGATCTCCATCTTCATCCACAAGAGATTGCGGGGGGGTCTGTGTCTCATTCTGCTCCCCCGCCCCCTCCTGTCCTCCATCCAGGCTGCAAACGCCCTCGGAACACTGGAGAATCTTGAACCGGGAAACAAAAACTACACAGGAAAACAAGAAATAATCATTTCTATTCTTAATGGGTAATGTGTTTTCATAACATTTTTTTTTTTTTTCCTCTTGAAACTAAAATAATGTATGTGTGTTTGTTTGGGAGGTATGTATATAGTACGTTGTGGGGACACTTAGTCCCCACAAAGTGATAAAAAACTTGTTATTTTGATGTTGTGGGGACCATTTTTAAGTCCCCACAAGGGGAAACTTTAGAAAAATCTATGATCGCAATTAAAAAAAAACTAAAAATGCCAAAAATCTTGTATTTTATTTGGTTACTTATGGTTAAGGTTTGGGCTGGGTAGGGGTTAAGGTCGTCATTGTTGGGATTAGGGTTTTTCCAATAGAAATGAAGGGACGGTCCCCACAAACATTATTTTCTATCTCTCTATTATTATCTATTACCCCCTGCTGCATCAAAGATGGGCTGCTGAGATCAGGTTTAATATAAAATGGAAGGTAATATAATACACTGATAGGGAGTTGGAGGCTTTAAAGCTTGCTAAGGTTGTTATTTCTTACTAGGGAACATGTCACATGCAATCAATGCAGTACATCTGCAGAGGAGCATTGATCATCCTTTACCACTAACCCCCACCTGCTTTTTATTTGTTACACCCCAATCAGGACCCAGAGCCAAACCCACCAGAAAACATCCTAATGTTACATCAAAAGCAGAGAATACAATGCAGAGTCACAACCCAAACCTTTACGGATGTGGAGTCCAGTTTTAAAACGAACGTGCTGAATTTCAACAGCACGCAGAAGCACAAACAAAACCATTTCCCAAAAACCATGATAATAACCGCCCCCCCAAGTAGGTAGGTTTCTGTCTTTCTGTTCTATTCTGGGCTTTTTGGACAGGCCAGATGTCACGTTTCGATGTGCCCCGTGGAAAACTTCAAGAACAGCAGGCCTGACAGTTTCACGGCAATCGTACTGACGCAGATGGAAAGGTTTCCACTGCTGATGCACGGCGGATGTAAACACTGCATTTAACGGCCTGCTGGCTGTTCAGCAAAGCAAACGCCCCACTGGCTTAGCCAATGAGATGATGGAGAGATATGTCCTTGTTATGTCACGTCCCAAGCTGCGTTAATATACTTTTATATATATATATAAATGTTTATAAAGATAAACTTCATTATTTCAGGGGGGAAACTCTTGATAAGTTCGGCTCAGTTGGCTGGGAATTGAGGTTAGGCCTACTGCTTGTAAGGCAGCTACGCTAACAAGGAAGGACTACAAGTTATGTCCACCAGAGGGCAGTGCAAGAAAATCATCTTGGTCGGCTCCGTTTCTGGTCTCACTTGTTGTGCCATAAAATGTTGTACACTCACCTGCTAATTTTGTGACATGGCTGCACCATTCTCTATATTCTACCCACTGCTCCACATCGTATTAGTACTTTGCTCTGCCACGTATCACTTTACTACTTCATGTTGAATGTTGCATTATATGTTGTTAGATCTCTCGCAGTAGTTAGCATGTCCTATTTAGTATATTAAGGCTGCACGATACTGGAAGTTTGTGTTTCTGCAATAATTATATATATATTTCTGCAATGTTAAAAACAAAATGGAGTTCAAAATAAATCAATTTCTCACAAACACTTCTGTAAGTGATTTAAAAAGCAAGTATGAAAATGATTACGATCGAGTGACTCTGAAAGTGCACGCACAGCTCGTGCAAAAGCAGTGGAGGTAAACTTTAATTTTAAACATATACTACATCATCTTGAAAAGGAAGGATCATTAAAATCTAAAAGCTTGCTAAGTTTTGTTTCTTATAAATGATTTAGCGAAACGTAACCGCCCCCCCCCCCCAGTCTTGGCGAATTTCATCACCGATATTTCTAATTACCGGATCTGCACTGAAAAATAACATTGCTTATAAAATTAACTTATACTGCAGTACAGTATGAAAGCCTGATCTCAACCCAGCTGCGATGCCAGAATTGCAATGTCGATAATAGTACCGGCAATTACCCAACCCTACTTAGTATTTTTTTTTCTGTACTGTAACCTTGCACTGTCTTCTGCATTGTCTGTAGTCTGTGGAGAAGGCATTCAGTAACAATTTCATTGTATTCTATACATAGGCAGAGTTGCCACCTTTGGTCCACTGGCTGGAGTGAGATTTTAAATTTGAGACTAGTACGTCTGTACACATGTCTTACATGTATGTAAGACTTTTGTTACATTGTAGATAGTCTGAAATGGAATAAGTCGGACAAGATTTTGTTGTCCGAGTTGCCCCTGTGACGTAATTTCAACATGGCGACTTGGTTTGTTTGTAGTTTGTTTACCGATCCAAAAAAGAATATCGCTATGAATGTATTAAAATATTTTATAAAGCTTTTAATGTGGTTTGACTAGTTCGTGTTTCTTGTTTGTCTCTCGGAAAAATCTCCATTTCTCCATTTTCTCCTTTTGGAAAACTCCAAATCTGCTAAAATATAAAGCAACAACACACAGCAAGGTGTGTTCATGGAGGCAGCCATGTTTGTTCCGAGATGTGGGTAGCTCGAACGGGAGATTGTCGGACGTGATGTCACTCAACTCGGAATTTCCGAGTTCTGAGAGAAAAACGAACGCACCATTAGATACAGCTCTATGACGGTGTCAATTCCTCCAGAGGCCACAGGGGGGCGCCACATTATAAACAACAAGGACAAGTATCTGAAGCGTGACTGGTGATTGATGCCACTAAGGAAATTGTCAAGACTGACCGACATACAGGGACAGGCTTTGTCGCATACCTCTGCTCTTGCTGCTTACACAAACGCACAAAATTTAAGTCACTGAGACTTAAATCAGGATCATTTCGGCTGCTACTGCCCCTAGTGGTCAGGTCATATGCCCCCCTCCGCGTTACCTGGCTGTCCTGCAGCATTGAGGCGGACCATGAGGTGGCGTGCATTGGGAATCAGCAGGTGGACGTCGGAGAGCACAGTGTCACTGCGGAAGGTGACCTGGTCCATATCTGGCCCAGGGCATCAGGACTTGATGGTGCTCCTGGAAGGCAAAGCACCGAGAGAAACTGTATCATATCTACCCAAGCCTGAACTGATGGTAAGCTTAAAACACCTCACTCAACAGCACAGCCAACAGTACAGCCTAAGAAACGCTTGTTTCTAATAGGCTCCTCTCTGAATGCAAAATAAAGCCCATCTACTATAAAAAATTTGGACTAGAACAAGTAAACTGCAAGCAGTTAGATATACGAGTGCAGTCAGATGAATTATTATCACATGGAAGTCTGGAATGAGAACTGTTAAGGCAGGGAATGTGCTTTTTTTAGATGCTGATAGAACTTAGTTTTTTTTTATTCATAGTGCACATAAAATTGTTCACGGGAAACATAGTAAGAGTGCTACATTCTATCTTGTTTACAATGAGATAAATGCTCTTTTCCGGAAAAACAAGCGATATGAAATTCATGCATTCTGCAATACGTCATTTAAAAAAATCCTGGGACACAGACTTTCCATCGATTCAGAAAAGCTGCCGTTCCCCTCCTCAAATCGCAGCAAATCCCTTCTCCTCTACCGTATCGAGCCTTGCTCATATGGCTCAAAACTAGGAAATCAACAAATAAAAAATTAGGCTGCGAAATACTGGTTAGTTTGGAAATCCAAAACGCCATGCCGAGTCGCACCCATTCCATACCACTTACTTTGGTAATGTTCTCTAATGCACGCGTTTGCTATCCAAAATCATCAATCTCTCTGTAATTCCCAGTTAGTTTGAGACCCAGAGGACACAAAGAGTTTTGGTGAAACTTACGGGGATCTAGCGCCACAAATCCCCGTGGCTGTCAAGTTTCAGATACTTGCCACACGCCGCCTTCAATCACAAGGGGGCACCTAACCAGATATTCGTCGTACTCTCGTAAATTCCCGCAAAAACAAGCTGTTGTTCCATAATAGCTGTTATTAATTATTATAAATTTATAAACAAAACTATTATTCCAACGTCACCCACATTTAAATAACATTTTACAAGTTTTGTAAAATACTACATGTTAGACGATTACCTTACACTACAAGGAGCGTCACATTCAATAGGATCCTACCTTGCAAGGGGAACAAGTTATAAAAGGTTCCGCTGAGTTTGTATTTCGACGAAATTTATTAATTTTATTTTAGATTATAATTTTAAATTCACATTATTTTATACTGTATTTCATTTTAATGTTTAGTGTTTGCAATTTGCGCACGATTTATTTCTAAATTTGCCTACGGTACCAGTGAGCCATTAGTCTTTCTGCAAAAGGAAATCCACACCTGCTCACACATCGTTAAAGTTTTATATAATAGCCTACTAGTTCTGTGTGTTATCTTGAATATGAACACCGTACTCTGGTTTTATAATCATTTCAGCCTATGCACAATGATTCATGGTTTCGTGTTTGGGAGCATTTATGAGTTTCATCCTTTTTAATAACAAAATATGCTTATTCACTGCCTTAATTATATAAATGAATATTCTATTACAACTGCTATCCGGTACAGGGTCGTAAAAGGGTCCTATGAAGCATAGGGCACCAAAGTAGGCAGGGTTGCCAACTCAGGTCAGCTGACTGGAGTTATATTTTCAATTTGAGACAAGTCTGCACACACATTTACAATATGTATGCAACAGTTTTATTATCTTAAAATAAATTACCTAAATAGTTTGTAGGGTTTGCAAGCTGCCCTGGCGATTTTGATGTAGCTAATTTGATGTAGCTAATTAGGTTTATGATAGATTAATATAAATTTGCTGTAAGAATTCGTGCATTACCCCGAGAACCTGAAAGTGGAAGTGCGTGAGATGCGTGAGAATTGGTATCCTGGAGTAGGAGTACACATTGGACGGAATGCCAGTACATTGGAGCGCATATACACCTCATATAGCCTAAATGCATGCTTTTGCAAAGACTCCAATGGAAACGTAAAATGTTGAAATTGACGAATGCAGTGTGATGAAAATATGAAATGACGCTTTATTTTCCATTTGTACAGGTGCGAGGGCAGGTACATTTGAATGCTTATCTTCTCATATAACTTTTTTTTTCTCCCTTGAGACATACATATACACACGTGAAGCCCGGGATCAGAGCGCAGGGTTAGCAAATTATGGAGCATTTTCAGTACCTGTCAGCAAGAGAGTAACTTCGTATTGAACATTGTGGGGTTAAGGTCCTCACCCATTCATCATAACAATATGATTTTTTATTTCATTTTATTTATTTATCTATTTATTTTGGTAGGGGTGGGGGTGTATTGGCCAGTTCTGAATATTGGGGGGGGGGGGGGGGGTTTACAACCCCAATCCTCCTCCTCCCTATAATTTACGCCCATGTATGTCAGTATAGTTAGCTATGCGTTTTATTTGTAAAGGTCGTTGTGGCCGTGGCACAATAACAAGTGATGCTGAACTAGTGTCAGAAAAGGGACGGTTTTCTGTAAAATCCCAGCAGGTAGGAGGCGGAGAATGAGGGCAAAGCCTTTAAAAAAAGTGCCACCTCCTTGTTAAATATGACAGCTGGTCATGGAGTCGGGTGACAGTCGACAGATAGAACTGTGATATAACTGACTAAAATATGAACTGCAAAGCTGTGGGCGTTTGACACTTTGTCCCCAAACAGATTATCCTGAGCTACAGATCTCCACCAAGTCTGTCAAGATGAAGCTTACGCTGAACGCTTTGGCTATTTTCGTGGCTGTCTCCGGTGTTTTGAGTTTCGTGTTTCTTGTCCTTGCTATAGGAACGGATTTTTGGTATATTATCGATACATCCAGACTGGACCGCAACTCCTCACATCTTAGTTCGCATTCGGGGTTATGGAGGACTTGCAACGGTAAGTAAAATGGATTTCGTGAAGACGAATCAACTATTTGGATTTGGATATATGACGGTTCTAAAATACAAATTCTATTCTAGCTCAAAACCAATGCTGGCCATTCATAAACCCTTTTGGAAATTCAAACAACTACACGAATTCTGAGAGACAACTTCTTGGTAAGAATCCTTTAAATTCTAACCATAAATGATCACATCGATGTGGGCTGTGTAACCAGACTGTAAAAAGCTGAGCAAATACAGTGCTACAGTAAACTCGACAGCTGAAAAGCAGACGGTAATTAGGGTGACTTTGAATCGGAAAGACTCTTAATTATCGCACTTTTTACATCGACGCGGGGAAGATACTTAATGCAACTAGTTGCATAACGGCGTATGAGAGAGTTTGGGGAAGAGATATTGAGGAAGACAACTTGTTCATTTAAATAAATTTGGGTATTTATTGGGGGATTAATGAAGGCAAATGAACTATTACGGGGTACACGCCCCCCAAAAAAAAATATGTTAAGGACAGCATTCGACCGGCACATGGTATTTAAACTGGATTTTTTTTTTTGTGAAATTTCTGCTGATTTTAACAACTGAGCTGGTTAGGCAGTACTGGGCACAGATTCTTAAACAAATATCCATCTTCTGTCGTAAGATATTTGAATACAGACTCGTTTCTTTCGTCCACAGTTTTATTTAACACAATTCTTTGGTTTGAAGGAATTAAATCTATGTGAGCTATTAGAAAATTACCTTGGATTATAGTCTTTTTTAAGATTAAAAATAATGGAACAATAGACCGCATGCACTCCTCATTTCTAGTTGCTGTTACAGTGCCTTCATAGACCATCGTGTTATTCGCCTTGAGTAAGTGATGTCAGAGTTTGTCTTAATCTTGTAAAGACTTAAGGGCCAAGTTATTGACATCATGTATTCATAGCCAGGCTCTACTTTACCTTAATAAAACTGTCAACAGGGGTGCATAGTTTCAATAATAAACGCGCAAACACACGGCTGTGCAAAATATCTGCCATAAACAGTTCGCGAGACGTTGGCCCGGCAGTTTCCATGGTGATAATGTCGTCCATTGAGACGGCGCGAGCTTGCAAATCGATCCCTGAACAGGGACCGGTGCGGGAACCGAACCTTCAGCTCCATGTGCAAGTATGGCAATGTTAATTATACTTAAATTTAGATGGTATTATATGGCATTTCGGGAGCTGTAGGTTTTGTCAGTAAGGATTTATAAGTGAGTATAAATTCCCGCAAAACCTTAAATGGACAAAATAACCAGACATGTTTACATATGTACGGTTATTCTTCTGCTAGGTGCATCTAGAACTGATGATAGTGTAGAAATTTTCCAACCTATATCTGACCTTTAACAGACCTATAGACACTACTTCCAATAAGACAACTTTAACTGTAGGTTCGTTGGAACAATTAAACTTTAGTCTGTTTGAGCTAATGGCGTTGGTATGAATGGCAGGGACACGCTCCTACTAATGTTGTGGGAGTATCGTGGGTGTTTAGTGGGGCGCTCGGTTCGGGTCCGATTTGATCCCTACCGATGTTGAAACCAAACCTGCCCCCTTGGTTTGGAGCCAGTGCTGCAAAGAATGACATTTGAAATGGCTGTCCAGCAGTTACATTTGTTGAAAACGAGTCAGCACGGGGGCAAACATTGTGCATCATTGCCTGACACCTACTGGGCTTTGGGTTTGAATGTCAGCTCTGATCTATGTTTGTGGTGTTTGCGTATCTTCCCTGTGTAGTTTCCTCGCGGTCTAAAGACAAGCAGACATGCTATAACTGCACCCTGCATTGCCCCCTGCATTGCCCCCACCAAGTCTGATCATGCTTATATATGAAAGACAGATGGATATCTTAACACTAAATAGATTTGATTTGTAATCCTGTATTGATTCAACTTGATACAAAAACAACGAATACTTTCCCAAGCCTATAAATCAGTCTGAGCCAGAGGAACTGTTTAGTAGACCACTCGGGTGGTATAAAACAAAACTACGTGCAAAAAAACATTAAAAAAAACGAAAAACAATAATGTTTTCTACATCTACACCTGAACGAGTCACACACGGTACTCTTTTCAAGTCTGCACAAATAACAAAAAGGCTGAATCACTTTAATTACATAAACCACTTACCACGGAAGAAGAAAGTACTGAAATACTGAAAAGAAAGATTGTCTTCTGAAATTACCTTACAGTTTCTAATAATAAAAGAAACCACTTTCGCTTTTATTTTAAATAGGTCTAAATATTTTTGCTGCGACAGTAAAGGGAAATAAATTACGTTCTCTTTAACCAGTCATTACATTTATGCATTTTGTATTCTGTACGTTCACTGCAGGTAATTTTGCCTAATCTGGAGGTCAGATGTAGCAATATGGCCAGAATTACCCCGTTCATTCCAAGTGCAGGCCGAATGCATAGCATTTTACACTGTATAGCAGTTAGGCAAACCATCGTATTTTGGCGACGTCCTGTAAATCAGACTCGTGACCACAGCTCTTTAAACACATATTATACCGGGAATCAAATGATCAAATTACCGCTTTTCACAGAAGTACCCCCACGAAAATGTGTGTTGGGAACTAAATGACAAAATGACCCACATTAGCGGGAGCGCACGGGAGAGGATGAGCTTGCTACCCTTTTGTGTGTCAGCCGTGATCCCACCGTATTTTGGCCAGCAGCGAAACAACAGTGTTAATTATGCATATTCACAATGTACATCCTATAATAACTCCTCTCATTTTCCGTGTTTCATATTCAAGTCATATTTCTCAGGGAAAACAGTTTTATTATGCACAAAGTCGCCTTCTATTTTGGGGCTACCGTGGCAGCTATAAGTCACCTTGGTTTTATGCAAAGAGAACAGTTGGCAGGGGTAATTATATTAATTAACATCCCACGCAGTTATGGCATTATTGTATGCAACGTTTTACAATACTTTCTAGCCAATAATTGCACAGACGGTAACATAAAGGGAGATGTCACGGGGTTAAGGTTTTAACCTTAAAGGAAAGTATGCGCAAAGAAAAAATGGGAAAGGAAGGCAAAATATGCCGTTTTTTGTATACGGAAAGAGGAGCCAGTAAGGAAAGAGTTCACTGGGATATACCTGCGAGGTCTGTCTTAAAAAATGCGACAGTAAATAAAACAAACACACACACACACACACACACACACACACACACACACACAAGATGACATTACATCATTGGTAACCTCTTCATCTCTGAGCAGGAAACATCTGCACATGTCTAATACGATTGTCCAGGCAGACCAGAGGCGGTCAGTCACCGCTGCAGAAGCAAAAGAATAAATCAGAATTAGACACACTCCAGCTTCTCATAAGATTGGCTTATATATATATATATATGCCTACCGTGAATTCAAGCTATAGACCTACGTCCACTGACAGCAGAAATAAGTGCCTTGCGTCTCAATGCATCTCATTACTCCTTAGAGGACCAATTTCAAATATCAGTAAATGTATCCGGTTGTCTTAACTTTTAATGGCAACAGAAGTATCATCTTCGAACTCTTGTCGAGTCAACATGATCGTAATCAATGCGCGCTAATATAGTATAACCACTGTAAATCTGATTTTTAGATGTTTAAAGCCGAAAGCCAAGGGGGACCTAAAGGATCTTGTTCTGTAGTTGTCTTCTTCGTCCCACAGGAATGCACGGCACCTTCGTCATCCTACTTCCTCTGAGCCTTATAATGATGGCGGTCGGCGGCATGGTCAGCTTCATCAGCATCCTGGCCCGGGCCAGAGTGATGCTGCTACTTACCGCAGTTTTTCTCTTGTTCGGGGGTAAGCGGATCCTGCGTCTTTGTCAAACAGGGGGGGCGGGGTAATTGGTTTAGTCTGAGATGGGGGCCCAATTTGACATCCTTTCATCTGGTCCAAAATCTCTAGAGGCTCCCCTGCTCCTTAGGGTTGAGGGCTCTCATGACATTTGGGTCTTGAGTGTTAAGTTCTTTAGATGGAGCTTAACGAGACGTTCAACTAAGGGAAATTAACTTTACACTTATTTTTTTTAAACAAAATTCCCTAGCCTCTACATTGCGAAGCATTTGGGAAATGTATAAAATATTCATAAATGTGTATTTCAGCATCTGATTTCAACATCACCATGAGAAATTGTAACAATAAGAACTTTCCTTGCGCAAACTGAAAATAATTAAAATGATCTGTAAAATAATTATTTAAACCTCTCGTTTGTACTGCAATATCCCAAACCATTTGAATTAATTAAGAGCGACAATGTTTGCAAGACAGGGAGCTCACCGCTGCGCTGTTGGATCCGCATTGCAGACATCGGTGCTGAAGCTTCCTCGTGTGTAGCTCACGTAGCTTTTCTCACTTACCTGGGAAATGCCAGCCTTTGACTGCACTTATGTCTGTTAATGGAACAGAAGGTGTACGCATTCGCCGGTGAATCACTCAAGATGCCCCGATGGTTTGTGACTTCGAACAGCTTAAGTAAATGCCTTATATTTTTTACTTATATACGTTAATGACCATGTGAAAAATTAATGCCAGATGAATTATGGATTCATAATTCACTGCTTCCTTCAGGTGATATATGGATTTTCAGCACTGAATATAATAGCTTGTGTAATTATATACAGTATATAAGTATAATAATCAAAATAATTAAACAAGCCCTGGTTGTTACCCATAGAACTACTGCACCCATCTGACTGACTGTGGACCAAAAGGGTTGTAGATCCTTTCTGCAGCACATGGAAAGCCTGACACCCCCCCCCCCAAATTCTGCCCCCAGCCCTAGTCAGCCTGGCTGGCATCAGCGTCTATGTGGCATACTCAGCAGCAGCCTTCAAGGAGGCCCTGTGCATCTCTGGCAGGAAGACTCTGGAGGGCCTGGACGTCCACTTTGGCTGGTCTCTGGCCCTGGCTTGGATCTCCTTCATCACTGAGGTGCTCACCGGCGCCGCCCTCCTGGTGGCATCTCGCATCACTACTGTGCTCAGCAGGCAGGAACATGCTATTTGAGTTCGGGACCGATCTTCGAAGAAACTCAACGTCAGTGTCAGCTTCTAGGGCTCGAAAACTGACACACACCTAACAGATCACGTCCCTGAACCGGGTCTGGGATTCAAAGACTCTTAGCCATGATCTGCTTTTGACAGTTCCAGTTTCCAAGCTAGTATCCTAACAGTGTGGGCCAGATATTTTTTTTTTCTGTCGAGAAAAATGTCTTACTGATGACCTATGTTTGATTTGTTGTTGTTGCTTTGTGGAAACACTTAAAAGCTAGAACTAGTGCTGAATTTTCATAAAAACATTAAGTGCAACAACATCAATTGCATTTAGTGCTAGTAATCCAGGAAGTTGCCTTTATTAAAAAACGTATCTCTAAGCCACGTAATAATCTTAATCTTACCCCAGTTTTGTCCCATCAGCAAAGGTGTAATTACGAGGTTTGAATTTCCCTTCTGATAGCAGTACAACCTGGGGTATAATGATTATCAGGAAGGCTCACAGACGTGAAGGGGCGCCTGTACGAGCTGTGTTTGAGTTGCATTATCTGAATCCCTAAGCATATTTCAGGCAATAAATTTGCAGTTTGTTTCAGCCTATGAACCATTCTCTGCAAGAAAGAGAAATGCCATTTTCCAGTAAAATCATGTGAAGTGTCCTGTGTCATTCTGTGGATTTAATTTGCAGAAATGAATCAATGTTAATTAATCTCGAGTAAAATGTCACGATGTGTGAAGAACACTAATAACAACTTTATATACTCGTCCATTTTCTTTCTTTTGTCCTTTTATAAATATGCATTGCATGGTTCCAGCCAAAAAAAGAACCTGGCAGCTCTCCTGGCGCAGCGAGTAGAAAGTTACCTGTTTTTGTGGAAACAGATAAATACAAACACAGGCCTACTGGCAGGACCCAAATGTGCCAAAGCCAGCAAGGTTGGTATAATTATTAGGAACAAGTACCACTGGCTGTGGACTGCTCTGCTGACTGAATAAGATTTCCCCACTTAATTAAATTCAAGCATGTCACATGACCGTTATGCACAATAACCTTTCATACACACTCGGTGACAAAAAAAAATGTGAATCTGCAGGTGGCGAAAGGTCATGTGACTGTATCGCAATGATTATAATATCAGATGAAATGGAGGAGTTGGCAGTAAGGGCACAGTGCTGGCCCCATGTCAGTAGGGTGCGGCCGGTCTGCACATGTACCAAATTACATCCAAATTGGACCATCATTTCTGGGTGCTTTTTTTTGTCACTGACTGTATTTGTACTGATACATGTACCCCTTATTTGGACAACTCAACGATATTTGTTGGCTGTTGATTAGAATTTTAAAGTGAATTATATTTCACGTGCGACAAGGAATGAGTAGTTTTTAAGGTCACCATGAAAAAATCTGCTCCAGTCGAAACTCCTCCCCTTCTGTCCACGGTAAAGTAGACTAGCTGTAAAAAATGCCGCGTTCACGTTTTCACCGGTTTGTCGAAAGTTTCGCAATAATTAAATGCATAAAATGATTTAGCCAGTGCCTGTCATATAACCGCTACTGACACGTCTGAGTCACGGGATCCGAAAGTTTACAGTCACTTTGAACTGCCGGACGGGCAGAGCCTATGACCAAAGTGGCTCTTAAGGAGACATTCGCGTTTTCCACGGGAAACGGCAAACAAAGTCGTATAGCTCAGAGTGGTAATTAAGAGCCATCATGTGCCTGTACCCCTGCAGCAAAACCATCACTAAGCATAACAATATATTAACTTTCCCCACTTAGGCCCTACCGTTATCTATGACGAGCAAGGGCCAACGATTCGCTCGCTCGTTGTCTAAAAGCCGACTCTGGATAGGCTATAATAGCTTTTATCGTACGTGCTTTATCTAATAATACCGTTACATCACACTGCATTATTGGTATATTAGATCATACCTCCTACAAGTCCCATGACAGTATCTCAGAGATGAGAGACGATACTAAATCGGCACGTCAGGTGTTGGAGCGGCACCAGGCCGAAGGGGATGTTTCACATGCTTTCAAAATATTAATATTCACGGATGTGTTACAGCTTTCTTGCAATATTTTATCATATATTGTACGTTGCACCTAAAACACACACATTTGTTTACGCAAATACAAAATATCTCATCCCAGCCTGGTAAGGAGCTCAGTCTGCTTGGGTAATGAAGGGTTTCACGGTGAAACCTGTTGAGAGATCAGAGAGCGAGCAAAGACTGATCTTAATCCCCCTTCCCCACATCCACGCTGGATGATATTCATCCCGCAAACAGTGAAGGCGACGCTGTTCTTTCAGTGTAGGCACTAGATTTTCTGTAACACTTAATCACGCGCTAACATAAACAAATCTGTCATACTGACACGCGTCTACCTTGGTTTGACAGCTCAATACAGTCGTACAGGCATAGACAATTTGTAAACATATCACAACAACAACCTGCCATTTTATCAAAGGGCAGGGTTTTCTTGCAGAACGCGAGTTGCATTTTCAAGACGCAATTCGGTTCGTCAAATAAATGCCAACCGGAAATCATTACATCTTTGATAACGCAAAGGCTGAGAATGTAATTGGATAATTGTAATTTGAAATGCAGCTACGTGCATAATAGAGGTGGTATTAAACTCCCGCTTAAACACTGTTCACCTGCAATGTACGACCTGCCTCGCTTGTACGTCGCTTTGGGCTAAATATGCAAATTAAAATATATCTGTACACGTTCAGATACCGATTTTCATTGAGCTCTGAAGGCACCTAACGGCACTTACAGGTGGATACCGTGCGGTAAGGGACGACCCTTGCTTAATATTTAACGTTTTCAACATAAACCTATAAATTCCCTAATGAGTAGATTTGTAGGGCGTTTAAACTCAGATTAATTTAGCAAATGGTCATTAATACAGCATTCAGATACATCTGAACGCATATAAATGACTTCAGAAACACAGCTGGTGGTGCCTTGGCCAGTAATCCTGGGGAATTAGATGGTTTAAAAATCGATTCCATTAAAATGCAAATGTTTTCTGTCAAGCATCCTCTCGCAACAGTAAGACGCTTCACTTGAGAACATAACAGTGTCCTAATGTTAAACTTTTGTTTTATTCTTTGAAATTATGTCGTATCATGCAAACTGTCAGCTTGGATATATACAAACTGTGCACCAAACAAAAAGGCTGAACGTTCACAGCAAACCCTTACTTTATATTCCCGCAGTTACACGGTCTATGTACAGTCCATGGGTTTGAACACATTCTCAGCACTGTCGTCTAATCCATCGCCACCTCATCCTCTTCATCATCCTCCTCCTCTTCCTTGCCTTCCTCTTCATCGAAGTAGCGCTCCTCCGCATCGCGGCTCACGATGTCCAGGTTGTCGTAGTCCGGATTCTCGTCCACCTCGCTGGAATGCAGCATCACGGCATGTTAGTCACAGCTGTGTGTCCCGGTGGTCTAGGGTGGCCAGCCTGTCCTCAGGCCTGTCAAATTCTCGCCACCTTAAATATATACAGCCTGCTCTCGACCTCATTTGTCTTGAGAATTTTTTATTTTATTGTTTCTTAAAAAAACCCCTACATTTTCTCAAAACACCGCAACTTGCCCACAGACCCTCAAATACAACTGGATACACAGACTAACAAATGAAATGCATGGCTTCTCACTTCACACATACAGGCATTTACACCTGGGATTTTTTATCCACTAATATCACCCAGCCGCAGCCATATAACACCGTCTGGGAGTCCAGCTCTCCCAGGCGTGACCCGCTGACCTGTAGTTGAAGTCCTCATCTTTTCCTTCCAGGAAGCGTTCATGCATCTGACTGACGAACTCCTCCCGCAGCCGGGCCTTCTCCTCTGGGGTGGGCTCCCACTCCGAACCCCTGGCTTCACAGGCCTCTGTGGGTGCAGGCCGGTAGCATGATGACAATGTGACATCCACCCACCTTCGTCAGGCGGGAGTGAAGAAATACTGCAAATTTTGCTTACTGACTGCTCTGAGATATTCTGGGATGGCTTATGACAGGCGAATCCTGTCTATTATTACCATCAGTAAAGATAACTCTAAGGCACAAGGCAAAGGGACTAGAAGGTTCTATGCTATAAAGGGACAATGGGCATCATGCAACTAAAACAACCTGCAGTCCCCTGTCTGTATAGGTCAAATGTTGGTAAACCCTGGGTCAAATCACCCAGCTGTCTTTAAACCACTAATGACCTCAGGATTAGCGGAAAAGGCTAAAGTTAGCGAAAAGGGCTCCCCACCATTTACAGAGGCTGAGAACGGGCAAGCACAATGGCGCCACCTAGTGCAAATCTGTGGCCAGTCAGATTATCAAAGTGAAAGCAAATAAGGACAGAGGAAGACAGCTCTCACCATCGTCTTCCTCATCATCCTCCTCCTGGGCGCCCTCTTCCTTGTCCTGCTGCCAGTGCAGGCGGCGCTGGAGCAGCTGTTCCTGGTAGGAGTTGATGAGCAGGTCGGCCAGGCCTCCAGCGCCCCCTGCCAGCAGGCCCTGGGAGCGCTCAGCCAGCTCGTCCTCGTTCAGGTACTGACCGATGTACTGCTCATACAGCAGTGGCTCTCGGCCCCTCATCTGCTCCTCGCTGAAATACTTGCCCTCTGGTGGGAGGGGGGGGTGCTGGTGAGAATAGGCAGGTGGCAGGAAAACAGTCCCTACGCTGACACCCAAGCATGTACCCATTGGTGGAAACTATCACTCCAAAAAAAAAAAAAACCCACAAAATTAAAATAACATAAAAAATACAATGCATGATTGAAATCTAGCATTATTCATTCTAAACTAAACTTAATCTTACCTAATTATGGTGTTTCTCATTCTGATAGTGCCATTACTAGTTCAATAGATTTAATTCCTTAACAAATAACCAATTGATAACCAGTTTTAAAGGGATTAATGAGCAGTTGAGCAGTGAGCCCTTTTGATTGGATAATGATGTGGGCCAGTTGCCCCGGCAACACAGCTCGTGGCCCTCACCCTGCTGCAGGGCCCTGAGGGCGGCATAGCGGTGGTTCTTCACACTGGTCTTGCTGGCCTGGCCGGTCGCCCTCCTGCGCACCTCATCACTGTAGTACTGGGTGCGGCAGTCGGCACTCAGGTGGGCGAAGGCATCCAGGTGCTCTGGCTTCAGGTGAGCCTGGTAACGCTCCAGGAAGACCAAGGGCTTGGATCGGTACTGCTCCAGCAGGACAGCCCGCCGCTCCTCAAGTGTCAGGTCAGGCTCCCCGAGCTGCTGGCTCTTCACGGGGTTCGCACTGACCGCCACCGCCTCGATCATATTGGACAAGGCACTGGGACACTCATCCTAAACAGGAGCCAAAGCGTGATGTCACTGCAAGGGACTGCCATGTTGGCACTTACCATGCCAGGAGGTCTCAATGCCAGTAACTACCTCTGGCTTATCTGGTCTAATAATTATGCTGTGTAATATTTGGATTACCCCAAAAGCAGCAGTAAGGTATTTTCTAAATACACTCACCTAAAGGATTATAAGGAACACCTATTCAATTTCTCATTAATGCAATTATCCAATCAACCAATCACATGGCAGTTGCTTCAATTCATTTAGG